TTCCCATGTATCTATCTAAAAATCAGTCAGTCCACATATATTAAAACTAGATTTTAACTCGATGAATACTAATTACAGGAGTTAGAGATCATACCCAACATAGTTTTGACATAGATTTTCATGTGAGGTAGCATGGGAAATTAATTTTTGTACTTGCAATTTCACAGATAAAGCATGATCAATTTCCCGAGAGTCTCCAGAATTTAAGTTGTTATGCTCCACTGCATTCTGAAGGGAGTTGTTTAATACTAAAGTGCAAGTTGAAAAATCCCGACCGGTAAGCTTGTTACTCATACGAGCCATGACAACCACGACACGCTCATTCAGAACCTCGTTAGCATCACCGAGTTGGCTAACTGCCTATACGTGCAAGTAGATATAATGAGCAACAATAATCAAAAGGAAGCAACAAAATAATAATGACATGTGATAATAGAGTTATCATCGAGCATGACACATGAAAAAAGTTCAGACCACCAAAACAAAATCCTAAGTTTCTAACCACACGAAAACTTAAGAAAGTGACAAAAAGCCAAGTAACTGTTACCTGTGACTCTCAATTCCATAAAATGAATGCTTGTAGTAACCACCTCGACCTCGAAGTTGTGACTTGGTCCATATACAAATCTTGACACCACTATATGAACCGATAATCTTATATCCCTGCAAACTCATAATATTTTTACAGAATCATATCCATATCTTATCTAACCAAATTCAATTGAGAACACTAAATAAGCTTAAACCCTAAACCCTATATCATATATCATATTCTACAAACTCATAATATTTTTACAGAGTTATAATTCATATCTTATTTAACAAAATCCAACTGAGAACAATATGTAAGCCACCAGTAAGGCATATATGAATTACAGAAAGTACAATACCTGCTTCACCAAATTTTCCCTAATCATAGGAGTCACCATTTCTTTCTTGCCATTCAACTTCCCATTAGTCTCCTTCACTGAAACTATTATCTATTTTAACTTGTGTGTATATTTCACCTCAGTAGATGAGAGGCATCCTGTTCCATAGAACGAGTCGAGGCTCTACCATCACTGATTTGCTGCAGCAAAATGAGCAGAATCAAAGCTTAGAAATGCTTATGCAAGCCTCCGCTTCTGTTGGTATTCACTATTCACATAAGAAAATGATACAAGAAAGTAAAAACTAATGATAAAAACTTATATATCAGGTAGCACTAGCTTCTGTTGGTGTTGTACAAGGTGCTAATGTGTTAGGACGCAGGTTCATACCGCCCCCTCGAATGGAAATAGTAGGGAACTTAACATTGCTTGCCTTACTCACGAGATTTGAGTCGACAAACACGACAATCACGGTGATATCGTCGTGGAAATGCCTACGAACTCCACGGTCAATATCTTTTAAGTCTGAATATCTCATTTCTCTCTTCTTTGCCGCATCTTGAAGTGCGGCTCTCACTAGCCTCCTTGCAATTCCTTGAAAAGGTACGATAAGCCGTGTCAATTTAAATAAACCATAGTAAAATGATAGTGTTTTGTATCTTAAGGTTTGTATCTCACCAAGCGAGGATTGTTTTGAACTATATCAACAGCTTCTTGATTGCTAAGGTGCTCCCAGAGCCCTTCAGATGCAAATATAATAAACTGATCTTGTGGTTGCAGCTGGTCAACTGATATTGATGGTTTTGAACGGCTCACGAAGCTGAAACTTTGCATATAAAGGTTCTCTATTGAACTCAGCCTTTTTCAGATATACATCACCAATAGATCTAGATATCTGCAAATGTAAAAAACATGTAAGATAAAATGACATCGTAAATGAAGAAGGGACAATCCAAACGTCCAAGTCAAGCTAATACTGGACCGATCCCTTACTTGTATTAGACCCTTGACATGCCATACATTATGCCTCAAAACAACAATGTGTGAATCGTCGGGGTGCATAGATTGCAATTCGTGTCTTATTGACTCTATAGCTTCATTGTGTTCTGTTGACAATTGTACAGTTAAAACCTCCCCGGTTGCTTAGACTAATCTTCCCAAAACTGCTCGGGATCACCGAGATTTGCTATCTAAAGAGTTCCATTGCATATTACACCGACAAGACAACAGGATCCAACCGATGCAATTTGTGGTTTCATGGACCATTGTTTGGTAACAAGAGACATAAATCCGTCTTCTGTTGCTTGGATTGCCTTGCGAATTACGTCCGCCGACATTGACTGCTGCTCTGCAGTAAACCCTGAAATTTAATAAGCATAAATACTTTTAATTGAGAATCATGCAAAGAAAGAACTGGAACACAAAAACACCACTAAGCTCCTTTTTGGATAAAGGGCTTAATTAATTAATCGCTTATAACACAAACGCTTACCAATCAAGCATGCCAATATCATGACTCTACTGCAGAGTTGACACGCGTTCCCATAATTATGCTAACTACTTCAACCTTAAAATTTAGAAAATTCCAATTTGGACCCATCTCTTGATGGCGTTAATCTTTTACCTTTTGTCAGAAACACAATAGATATGGTGAATTTAATATATATTATGCTTTTAAGAATGTTATCACCATATTGTTTGAGAGGACATACCATATTAGAAGGAAGGTCAAGGTAAAGAATAGTATGATTGCTTGTCACGTTAGCAACCCCGGGGCCAAATAACTTTTGCAGTAAATATCTTGTGAGGACCTGCATAGTTATTGTGAAAATTTCTGTATTAGCATAAGTGTCATCATCAATATGAATATATTTAACAACTCAAAGTGAAAAGGTTATCATATTATTACCCCAAGAATTCCAAAAACAGCTAAGTGAGCCATACATGAAACATAGTCTAGTAACTGTGGCAAACCTTTAGGAGGTTCCTGAAAGTATACAAAATCAACTATCTGCGTATATGATTAATTGAGAAACATTAAAGTGTTGAGATCACAATCAAATGAAAAGTAGTGATGAAGAGAGCTTACAAGTTTTGAATCATGAGAACCAACCGTTGCATCAGTAGAAAGATGTGGGGTAGATGAGAGTTCTTGTGGCAAAGGTCTAACAGATGAGTTTGTAATAACAGTACTTCCATTTTCTGAATGGAAACTGTTGCTCTCGCTGAACCGTCTGCTCGGAAGAGCTCGATCGCCTATGTCACCAGCTTCTGAAACACTCTCACAATCAACATAATTATCTGTGTAAAGGCTTCTATGACTTGACAAGCTCAACGAACGTCTTCTAATTGAAGAACCACCGTCGCTGTTCATTCTCTCCATGTCAACCATGCTAACATAGTTATAAAAATTATCTCATTTTTGCTACTAAAATAGAAATTTAAAATAATAATAATAAAATTTAATGAAAATTAAGTTATGAAAAATTTGCTTTTATATAAATTATTTTTAAAAAATGATTTTATACAAACATTGCTTACATGAGGTAAAATAATTTTTGACAAACTTTAAACAAAAACTATTATTATTCAATAAAGCAAAAAAAAAATTGTTGTGAAAAATATTTTAAAATAGACTTGTTTTTGTATTATATAAATAAATCTAAAAAATCAATATGTCAATTATATTTCACAATTTTATTTAATAATAGTAAAAATATAATTAAATAAATAAACTTATATTTTTACAATTATATTTTACAATTATATCATAAACTTATATTTTTCATTTTCTAATTTTTACAACAATAAAAAATTATTAAATAAATAAAGTTATATTTTACAATTATATCATAAACTTATATTTTTTATTTTTCTAATTTTTACAACAATAAAAAATTATTAAATAAATAAACTTATATTTTACCATTATATCATAAACTTATATTTTATATCTTTTTAATTTTTACAAGAATAAAAAAGTATTAAATAAATAATTTTTTTTAAAAAAATAACTAAAAAAACTCAATTAATATTATAAAATTTTCTTAAGAAAAACTAAGATTTAATATAAAATTAGAAAATGTCTCAACAACCTATTCTTGGAATCAATATGTGTTTTATAATTTTATTTATTAATCGTAAAAATATAATAAAAATTAAAAATTAACTAATTACTTCACAGCAAAAGTCGCAGAAACATTTACAGCAAATTCCGCATCAAACTTCGCAGCAATTCCTAGGATATTTCCAGAGAATTTTGTGGTTTTAAAGGATAACTAGTTTCTGCGAAAATTATCGCATTAAATTCGCAGGAAATTTATATTTTATTTTAAAATCTAAAATTGCAAGGAGAGTCTCTAAAATTCCTGCGAAATTTACTGCTACTATAATTTTCGCAGGAAATAATGTTTCAAAATATAAAGGTGCAGGTGAAATCGCAGGTATAGCTGCGGAACTTTTACCGCAGGAAAATCCGCAGGTGATCTGTGTGATTCTAATTATGAAAAATTTATAATATTAATTTATAATTTTATAATTATAAATTTTAATTTTTATAAATAAAAATTTATAGTTTTTCAACTATACGTGACTATCTTTTTAATTTTTAAGGTTTCATAAAAACATTTTTTTTATTTCATTCTCATACTTCTTGACAATAAAATAAATGACGTGTCTATTTTTAATAACTCATAAATTATATTTTTTTATCTTTTAAATTATACTAAGATTTTTATATAATAATTTGTTACATTTTATAAATTACACATCATTTAAAAATAAACACTTGTGCAATTTTAAGTACAAAAACATAATTATAAAGGAGAATAAATTTGTTTAAACTTAAAATAATTAAATTAATTTTATCAAAACTCATAATGGTGTATCAGAATTTGGCAGAGTATGTCTTTCTTTGCCACTATCATGAAAAAAAAGGACCGACTAATCGTAAATCAAAATGTCGAAAAACTCAACAAATTAGATAAAATAGTGGATTAAAACTATCTTTATTAAAGTCTAAAAAATTTGAGTAAAGTTATTTTTAAAAGACTTCAATTAATTTTATTACATTTTTATAATACTATATTTCTATTTGCATGTGATAATAAAGTTTATTAAAGATATAAAAAAATGGGTCGTGGGAGAGGGCGAGGGTGTGGGCGGCCACGTTTGGTGGCACCGTCAACAAGCAATCCTACGACAGCCATTTTTGAGCAGAATGCCACGAAGAGGGAAACTATTGTGGACAATGAAGTGAGAAAGGACACATTGGAGAGTGGTATCCTGGCGGAGGAGGAAGAAGAGAATATCACTGATACAGATACCCTAGGTCACCAGAGCACTGAAGAAAGAAAAGCGGTGGAAGCTAGCCAAATGAAGAAACTATGGGCTGATATCATTAATGAAAACCGTAATTCGGCAAAGGGGCTTGTAACGCCCCAATTCTGAATTTCCCATTATTTTGTTGAGTCTTTTAATTTATTGGTTAATTGTTATTTTATTGTGGAATTATGTGATAATATGTTATGTGTGTATGTTGTGGTATTTTATTATTTAGAGAGTTTTGGGAATTAATTAGAGGGTGTTTTAGATAATTCTTGATTAGTAGTTAATTTGAGAGAAATAGAGTAGAAAGAGTATAAGTGGGAAAGAGGAAGAATAGAGAGAATAGAAACCAAGAGGAAAGAAAAAGAAGAGAAAGAAAGGAAGAGAAGAGAAAAGAGGAGAAAAACCTAGAATCATCAAGAATCCACTTCTAAGCTTTCGATTGATCGGGTAAGGGTGTGAAATTTTATTATTCTTGCAATGTGTATGATTATGTGTGTTCTTGTTGGTTTTGTTTTAGGTTGGGGAGAGTTTTTCTCATTTTTCATTCTAGGGCATAATATGGATTTAATCGATAAAACCCGAGTTTTTATTGGTAAAACTGAGATTAAATGATAGCATTTAGATCAGGTGATATTAAGATGTGTTACTGGAATGATTTGGGATTTAATCGGGTGAATCCAATAGTTTTGGAGTGGAAGAACAGTGAGGAATTTCTGGTTCGCAGACACTCGCTAGCACGTTCACTAGGCGAGCTGGTCGCGAACGTTCGCTAAGCGAGCAGTAGCGAATAGGTAGTGAATGGTCCCAGACTTGGACAGAATGCATGTTGTGGTGTTCGCTGGTAGCGAATGGGGGTAGCAAAGATTCGCTAGGAGTTCGTTGAGCGAGCAAGGTAGTGAACAAAGTCAGAGGCTTCTATTTGCCTTCGCGAGCTTGTTCGCTAGGCGAACAAGTAGCAAATACTCGCTAGGAGCTCGCTAAGCGAGCAGAGTGGCGAACATGACAGGTTGTATTTTCTTTAATGTTTCCATCCGAGGTCAAATTTCCAACTTAACTTTGATTATTTTCTTGCTCGAGGCATCGATCATGCTGAGTTATGTTGTGTTGTGGGTAGCCGTATGGCGTGAATCCTAGATTGTGAATTGTGGAATGTGTATGTGGTCGTTTGGCAATTTTACGCAATTGTTCGAATTACATGGAATTGCATGGTGATATTGATGTGAATGTGCATAATTGTATGTACTTGTATGATGTGAAGAATGCCTGAATATGCTTGTAAACATGTATGCATTTTAAGAGTGTTTAGAGTCGTATTGCATGTATAGCATCATGATTGCATTCTTGTGTGTCTGATCCCGCGTAGGATCTGCAGAAACCTCGTGTGCCCTTGTGGGGTGTGAGCGATGGTTTAGTAACTTTGATCCCTAGGAGGATCTGCAGAAACGATCGTGTGCCCTTGTTGGGTGTGAGCGATGGTTTATTTTGATTTCGTGGAGAATCTGCAGAAAAGTTGTGTGCCCTTATGGGGTGTGAGAAACCAGATTGTGTGCCCGTGTGCGGTGTGAGAAATCCTGAAACATCGTGTGCCCATGTGGGGTGTGAGCGATGGGTGAGCATCGTAGGCCCGATGGGGAGTTACTTCGGTAACGAGCGATGGTTCCATTTTGGTTCTTCAATTGAACCTGCTGAACGAGTCGGTGCCGCATTTGCATCTGCATAGAGTCGTGAGTCGGTCTCTATGAGTTGCATTATCATCTTTATATGATGTCTTGGTGAAATGGACATAATTGTAAAGGTTTAAGTGAAATGCTATGAATTGTGAAGCATGAATTGGTGAATGTGATTGTTATGTACGTGTACATGGTGACGTGTTGTAACAAGTGGTGGTGAGAAATATGAATTTCGTGTATGTTATAATTGTGTTTTATGATATATATAATTTTATGCATTGTTTGTTATGATAATGTTTCTCACCCTTCTGCTGTTTTATAATGCTCGATGAGGCATTGCAGAGTAGGATGTTGGAGGTCTTTTGTGAAGCGAGTCTTCATTTCTTTTGGTCAGATGGCTCTGATATGTAACACTGGGTAGTTAGGAATTGTTTGATTCTTTTGTGATACATCTGTGTATGTATCTGTTGCTGAATGTTTTGTAAACTTAACTGATGAATTGAATTAATCTGAATGATGTATAAAATGCTTATGTTAATGAAGTTATTTCAATGTTTAGATGTTTCCGCTTTATTCTAAATGTTGATATGTGGGTTTTAAGCGATATGCTTTGTTTTTAGTTGAGATTTACCCCTTTTGTTACATATCTTTATGAGCAGATATTATTTATGTTTCGTTTCGATGATAATGTGATGCGCCTCTTTTATACCATGTTATAATTATACTCTGATGGAATTTTATTAAGTGTCTAAGTGACTTAATTGTTTATTTTGGGGGTATAGAAAGGGGGTGTTACATTAAGTGGTATCAGAGCCAGTGTTGAGCAGTTGCGTGTGTCTTCTTGTTGTGTTGGTTAAACGGTTGTTTGACCTTGTTGTTATTTTTGGGAATTCTCAGAATATGGTTGGTCGTAATGACACTGCTATGGCTGCGGCATTGGAGGCTATGGTAAGAGCGGTGCAAGGTGCGCCGAATGTGAATGCGAATGATGAGTTTAGAAAGAATCAGCCACCTGTATTCAAAGGAAGGTTTGATCCTGACGGTGCTCAGATCTGGTTGAAGGAGGTTGAGCGAATCTTTAGAGTTATGAATTGTGCTGAAGGAAACAAGGTGAGACTTGGGACTCATATGTTGAGGGAAGAGGCTGATGACTGGTGGGTCAGTATGAGGCAAGTTCTTGAGGTTGATGACGAGGAAATTACTTGGGATTTGTTCCGCACTGAATTTTTGAGGAAGTACTATCCTGAGAGTGTGAAGGGTAAAAAGGAAATGGAATTCCTTGAGTTGAAACAAGGCAACATGTCTGTAGTAGATTACACGGCTAAGTTTGTGGAACTAGTTCAGTTTCATCCTCATTATGCAGCTGTTACGGCAGAGTTCTCTAAATACATTAAGTATGAGAATGGTTTGCGTCCGGAGATAAAGCAAGCGGTGGATTACCAGAGGATACGAAGATTTTCGGACTTGACCAAATGTTGTAGAATTTTTGAAGAGGATAGTAGAGCTTGTTCTACTCACTACAAGAGTCTGAGTGAGAAGGAAAGCAAGCAACAAGTGAAGAATGGACCTTATGTGACGCCTGTTGATAAGGGCAAGTATAGGGGAAACTTCGATAGGAAATCGGGAGGTGGAAGTTCGGGTGCAGTCAAATGTTACAAGTGTGGCGTGATGGGTCACAAATCTTTTGAGTGTGGGAAGTCTACAGAAAAGTGTGCTACTTGTGGAAGTTTTGGACATACCACTTTTGAGTGTAGAAGGAATGTGGTAAAGTGTTTTGACTGTGGAGAGGTTGATCATATTAGCACCAAGTGTACCAAACCAAAGCAAGCTCAGTCGGGTGGAAAAGTATTTGCATTAGCCGGTTCAGACACTACTAATGCGGATCGCTTGATTAAAGGTACGTGCTTTATTAATAATATGCCTTTAGTTGCTATTATTGATACTGGAGCGACTCATTCGTTTATTTCTCTTGTATGTTCTAAGCGTTTGGGTTTGCGCATGGTTTCTTTGAGTGGTGGCATGGTTATTGAGACTCCTGCTTCAGGGTCAGTAACTACTTCTTTGGTGTGCGTAAGTTGTCCTTTGACTATGTATGGTAAAGACTTTTTTATGGATTTGGTGTGTTTGCCGTTGGAAGGCTTGGATGTGATTTTGGGTATGAATTGGTTGCAATTTAATAGAGTTCATTTAGATTGTTATCATAAGTTGGTAAGGTTTCCTTCTTTGGAAGATGATGAAAGTGAGAATTTTCTATCCACTAAAGAGTTGAAGAAACTTTTGGCGGACGAAGCTCAGTTGTTTGGTTTATTTGCATCGTTGTCGGTAGAGGACAAGGTTGGACTTGACGTGTTTCCAGTGGTGTGTGAATTTCCAGAAGTGTTTCCGAAGGATGTTACGGATGTACCGCCGGAAAGGGAAGTTGAATTTTCTATTGATCTAATTCTGGGTACTAGGCCAATTTCGATGGCACCGTATCGTATGTTAGCATCAAAATTGGTAGAGTTGAAGGAGCAGTTGAGTGAATTGTTAGAAAAGAGATTTGTTAGACCAAGTGTTTCTCCTTGGGGTGCACCGGTGTTGTTAGTAAAGAAAAAAGATGGGAGTATGCGGTTATGTATTGATTATCGACAGTTGAACAAAGTGACAATTAAGAATAAGTATCTGCTTCCTAGAATTGATGATTTGATGGACCAATTGGTTGGAGCACGAGTTTTTAGCAAGATTTATCTAAGATCAGGTTATTACCACATTCGTGTGAAGGAAGGAGATGTTCAAAAGACGGCTTTTAGGACACGGTATGGACATTACGAATATTTAGTGATGCCATTCGGAGTTTCTAATGCGCCAGGTGTGTTTATGGAGTACATGAATCGTATTTTTCATTAGCAGTTGGATCATTTTGTGGTTGTGTTTATTGACGACATTCTAATTTATTCTAAGTCTCAAGAAGAGCATGAGGAACATTTAAGAATTGTGTTACAGATTTTGAGGGAGAAGCAATTGTATGCCAAGTTGCGAAGTGTGAGTTTTGGTTGTCAGAAGTGAGCTTTCTTGGGCATGTTATTTCAAGTAATGGTATTAGTGTTGATCCGTCTAAGATTGATGGGTAATGCAATGGGAGACACCTAGAACAGTTACAGAGATTCGAAGCTTCTTAGGCTTGGCAGGTTATTACCGAAGACTTATTGAAGGGTTTTCGAAGTTGGCACTTCCGTTAACGCAGCTAACTTGTAAGGGAAAGGCTTTTATTTGGGATGTTGATTCTGAGAAGAGTTTTATGGAGTTAAGGAGAAAATTGACAACAGCGCCGATCTTGATTTTGCCGAATCCTACAGAACCTTTTGTGGTATATTGTGATGCTTTTTTGACTGGTTTGGGTGGTGTTTTGATGCAAGGTGGGAAGGTTGTGGCTTATGCTTCTAGACAGTTAAGAGTGCATGAAAAGAATTA